CAATCTATAAGAGCATGCACATATGCGACTATCTCCTTCCTGACCTCAGTGTCAGGCAAGGAGGAGACTGTTTTGAGGACAGCCTCATGGTCTGCAACAACGGTTTTCCGCTTTTCCTCCTTGGCTTTCTCTTCCCTTGCCAGTGCCTTCTCGTAGACAGTTTGGAACAATGGTTTATCCTCCTCTACGGCTACATCCAGTTGGGCCTTTAAGGCCACAAAAGCCTTTACATCGCCCATTTCCGCAAGTCCCTCAAGATGGGGTTTTTCACTCTCTCTTCCTTTTGTCTGCGAGTTTCTACAGCCATCAAAATATGAACTCAAGAAAATAAACAAACTGAAAAGTTCGAAGAAGAGAAGGTAAAACTCCTAGCCAGAGCGGCATTACATTTGGACTAGAGAGCAGCAAACCAAAAAAAGAAAAACAATTTCACAGGAGAGGTCTGATCCAGCGACCCAGTCTGATCAGACTGCATACGAGGTCCTCTCGAGTCCAGTCTGACCAGCTCCGTGTCCGTTCAGCAAATCAGACAACGAGTGACTAAATGCAACAATGGAGAATTGAGTGGTGTATAGGGTGCGATTCAAGCCATAAACGGTGCGATCAAAAGCATGTGAAACGTCTCAGTCGAGATCCCCTCGGCAGTGGGTGTCCTAACCAAGGAGAATAAACTTCGGATCTCAGTCAGGAAGAGAATGGACTAATGTCTAACAGATTCTGGTCCAAGGGCTCTTCTTGTTTGGGCCCGGTCCCATTGGGTCCCTAGGGGTCCCACGTAGGTTGTGACCGAGTCCCAACCAAGAGGAGTCCCACTTGGACTAAGTTTTTGCCTCTACCATCATGAAAACGAATTTCAACTTCCGGCAGAACCTACAGACTACAGCCGTTCAGAGATGAAAAGACAAAGCACTGTAGAAGGAGTCGACATTCAAATCAAGATACTTCGTTTCTCCATCCATCAAGTGAGTAGATAGTTCACACATATCCAATCACACAATCAAGACCACAGAGGAGTAGAAAAGAAACCCAGAATAACCCCAGCAGGACAATCAATACCATGCACACATACATGGGTTTCTCGTAGGTGCACGACACTTACCTGAGTGGCCTGAGCTTCGAGATGAATAGAACTCATCCCCCTCTCATGTGATCCTCCTAACCCCTTTAACGCTACCGCTACTCTAGTGTCCTATCTCCTAGGAGGGTCCGACTCCAACACCAAAGTGCAACGCCGGGTTCCCCTTCGATGCTGAAGAACAAAGTAGCAACTTGCAGTCCGCAGATGCCGAATGGCCGCTGACCCTCAAGTTCGCCTACTTGAGGGCAGCCCTTAAGTTTGCCAAGTGTTACATACTTCAACGAGTATGGGCAGAACCAAAGATCAACCAATGTAGGATGAGCATATATGCAGCGGAAGTCTGATAAACGGACTGACTCACATAGACTGACTCACATAGATATCACTCCACACACATACAATCGTGAGATGGTGGGGTCTGGGCCAAGCATAGACGATGCCCAGACCTCGTACAGACATACACAAATGAGAGGTGGGAGGAGAGACGAAGGAGGTGGGAGATGTAGGTAGCACCAAATGTCACCGAGATAAAAACCAGTAGGTCACCGATATGGTAATCCAAAATGTCCTCGAACAAGATCAAAATGTCGCGGACAATAAGTCACCAATGTCGGAGATACAGAGTCCCAATGTAACCGGTGTCCAATCTGTGATGCAGCCGAGTATCATCCCCAACAATCTTCAACTCTCGAATCCGGCAAGTACCACAGCCTCTTACCACCGAAGTCCAACTCTGATCTATGTCCACCTAGTACAAGTCTCCAATCTGAAGAAGACGAAGAAGAAGAAGAAGAAGAAGAAGAAGATGAAGTCTGAAGAGAAGAAGAAGAAGAAGAAGAAGAAGATGATGAAGTCTGAAGAGAAGAAGTAGAAGAAGAAGAAGAAGAAGGGAGCCAAGGAGGAGAGAGAGAGAGAGGGGACTGGCGATGGGAGGGAGGAGAGAAGCCTCCGACTCCCAATACCTCAGGCGGCTATGGCCGCCGATAACGCCCAGTCGCCGCTGCTGCTGCGCTAATGCTGTGCTGCGCTGCTCCTCGCTGCTCCTGCGCTAAACTTAGCGCCAGCGCTGATTCGCACCGTACCATACCGCACCGTAGCGTGCCGGTGGGTCGATAGCCTCAATGAGGCTGGACCGGTACTTTTGTACCGGTGGGGCAGAGGCCGGCCTCAATGCTGCGAGGCCTGGCCGTGCCCTGAACCATCAAGATGGACGGTTCATCCCCAACCGGCGGGCGGCAGCCTCAAGAGCGCCGCCAGGCCCAAATGGTAATGTCGTTTGGGCCTGCCCGTCGGGTCTGGTCCAAGGTAAGGCCTTTACGGCCTGTAGTACCCCCAAAGTCGGGCCTTTAGGCCCTACTGTGTCCCTCTAACCCTATGTCGGGTCCGGTAGGACCCGTGTGGCGTCGAAGATGTAACACCAAGTGCCTCCCTTGAATCAGATTTTAGGTGTGAGTGCCTCTGTGTCGCCTCTCTCAAATTGCCGCATGAAGTCTCCACGAAATGTCTCGCCACCCTAATCTCACTCTCAAGCAACCTGGTTAGGTTCAATGTTGACCCCACATGACCTAACCAGATGGGGGCAGCTTCCCTTAGCCACGCTGCCCCACTTCCTTACATCCAACCCTAACCCTAAGTGTTGCCCTCAACCACTTAAGTTAGGGTTAGGGCAGCACAGTCGACTCTCACCAGCAAGTAGAATCCACTCTGATACCAATGTTATGATTCTGGCCAATTTCGAGATACACATTCATCAGATAGTACAATGCGGTGCAATTGCCAAAAGGTATGAATGAACTTGAGAGGAGAGAGAAGATTAGAAGAAGAAGAAGAAGAAGTAAGAAAGAAGAAGAAGATGATGTACACTAGCATAGACAAATGACAAAGCTCTTCTTCTTCGCCCAGCTCTCTCTTCCTCCTTATCTCCTCCTCTCTCTTATTCACTCGAGAAATAATAATCCAATGTTGAATGGCTGAACCAGAATCAATGTCCGAATCCCTCTCTACTGCTGGTATCACTTGAGGTCCACCATAGCCATGGCCGCCTCCCTCACTCTTCACTCTCATAGGCCGAGGCTATGGCGGACTACTAGGCCTTTCCCAGATGCCCAAAGGACAACCCAAAGCAGCTATGGCTGGTCTGGCTCAGGCCGCCATGCCTGACTCTGCCTCGAAGCTTCTTGGTGCGGCTCAACCCCAGCTGGGGCCTTCCTGCTGCAGCGCCCACCAAGGTGATGAAGATGGCTGCCACCATAGCCAGGTAAGTACCTCTGGCGCTCCTCCCCCTTCCTGTCCTTCTTCCTCCTCCAAGTCCTTGCTTCTTCCCCAGCAGCGCTGCTCCAAGGTAGCGCTGCTCCAGCCAGCGCTCCAACCAGTGTGTCGCCAAACTTGCACACCGACAATGAGGCTGGGCTCTTCGCCCGGCCTGGAGATATAGTGGCCTGCTTGCCTCTTGGGCGGTGACTTCCAGGCTGCTCGGCCTTCCCAGCAACCGGTACCTCCTCCCTTTCGGAGGGAAACATCATTGCAGACTCTGATGTTGGCCGTACAGGCCCTAGACTCAGACTGGTTGGACTGGTACCCTCCTAGACCTAGCCTACAACTACTGGCCTCTCAAAATGCCACTTTTGTCTTCTTCTGCTCGGCCTCCAGTACCCGCACATCTACCTCTTCAGGGTGTGGTATCGGCCTACCTGCTACTTAGTGTTTTCCTCCGCTGCAATCCCTCAATGTCACGGCCACAGGTAAGTACCGGCCCTGAGGGCCCAACGAACGAACAAGTGCCCTTATGGGCCACGCACATACTCGAGCCAACCAGCACTCAGACAGACATGCAGTCCAGCAAGCGTGCACACACACAGACTTAGTAGCAAGCGGGAAACTCAGCAAGGCATTCAGTCCATGAACAAAACTCAGAAACCAGCCGTGTGTTTCAGTCCATGTTTGGTCGGGTCATCACAATGAAGTTGTGTAAGCTTACATCCCTTAGGCTTTGCTATCTGCAAGTCATGTTGTCTAAGGGTAGATCCTAGTCCGTCCGTGTGTAAGTGAGAGCGTGTCTGATGTTGGATACAGTGTTCGAGTGGGAATTCAGACCAGCGTGCAGCGCCCATTGCCGCTAGATGTGACGAGTTGACTTAAGCTGAGTTCCTGACCTAAGGCCATACTTCTCAGTTTTCTGTGTGGGCGCAGTACGCCATTGCGAGTCTGTTGCTGATTCTGAGTTGACAAAGTTGTGTTGTCATCGACACATACATGTATGCATGTTGCGAGAGAAATTGAGACAAGTCTGATTGCTCACGTGCGATGTTCGCTGGTTCTTTCTAGTTGATCTCATAGCAAGGCCAAGCAGAGCGTGCCAGTTGAAGTAACGAGCATTGGAAAGATTTGAAATTGATTCAACTTGCATGAACATCTCCACACGGGCGCACACCCATGAAGGGATCAGCGTGGTTATCAACCTTTGCTGCTGTTTTTCTTTTTTGTTTTCATTTTTTTTCCCTGGTGCTGCCTATCACTCTGTTCTTGCTTAATGGTCTCTTTTTTGCTCTGGTCTGAGCTTGGAGGATTTCTTACAAACACCTGTCTATTTGGGAGAAGCTGGCTGCAGGCCCCTATTCAATGCTTCTCCGCGTGTTGAACCCCGACTTACCCATAGGCGCGCCATACCAGGATGTTGGTTCGCAGAGCAGCCTGTAGATGTTCATTGTGGGTCTGGTCTGTATGGAGCTTCAAAAGAATACAGTTTCAAAATCCAGATTTTGTTATCTGCAAGTCATATTGTCTAACCTACTCACCCTGCCTCCTTCCCGTCAAGAGAGAGAATGCGGCAAAGGCAGAAATTGACTGGATGTCGTCTCCCATTCTTCCCTGGCTTCTTGCATGTGCTGTTTTGTCTTGATTCTCGGATATCACATGGACACAGGTCAAAGACTACATTGCCACTCCTAAGCCCAATGGGTACCAGAGTCTTCATACTACTATTCTTCCACTGGGGTCAAAGATGCTCTTTCCACTAGAAATCCAGGTAAATCTCTCAATGTCTCTCTGTGCCACCACTTCCATCTCAATTGGTTGTCAATTGTTTCAATTTGGCCCCGATGCAGCCATCCCTCTGCAAAGCCTTTTGTGTTTGCTGTGAACTCATGGTTTGTCTTTGGCAGGGTCTTTGATCTTCGACCATCTGCAGCAAATCTCTCTTTCGACATTGTAGACCAGCTGTGCCGAGCCTGCCTCGCCCTTGATTCTCTACTCATCAATGGTTTGGGAGCACCTCCTCATCGAAATGATTCATAGTGTGATTTTTCTGAGAGGTAGGGAAGGCGGGATATTTATTAAAACTGTCAAAAGTGATATAGTTTTGGGGAAGGGGGGGGAGTTGGTTGAGAATAGTGAGAGCGAAAGCCTTCTCACTCGGATTGGAAACCAGGTTGCTTCCATGCAGGATAGGAGGCAATGAGTAATGTCTTCTAGCTGGTTATCAGCACAAATTGCCTCTATTCTCAGCACTGTTGGGATCTGACCATTCCTTGAGAGGAACGGCTGTGCAGAGTTCGGAATTTTAGTCTTTCAAGCTTTATGAAACGGTTTTCACCTGTGCAGAAGCTGATGCAGATCCCAGGGTTCGATCCCTATGCAGTAACTCGTGTGCAGCAAGGGCTGTACGGGGCTCAGACCCGCCCCAGGCCATGCAGAACTTTACTGTTCTGCGTTGGGCTGTGTGACCAGGCACTGCCCAGGCCACAGACCGCTGCGTCCGGCTGTGAGACTGAACGCTGCATGTGGAAATTCAAAAGTCAAAGTCCACTGTAGAGTCAAAGGTACCAGGCCCTGGCCCTTGTCTGGATACACTCACTTGTGGTGTGCAGGTACCAAGACAGCATCCAGGCCGAAGAGGATTCTGTTTCAGAATAATCTGAGCCCTCGTCCGCATTGAGATCTGGACGACTGAGGGAGGCAGCATCCGGGGCCTAGCCCCCAAGTCAACAATATATAAGGGCTGACTTCCAGGCATTGAGATTAATTCAGTCTTGCGTCAATGCTGACTTTCTGCTTTGACGACGACGCTGGCTCTATGTCAAGATGCTGGCTGTACGCTAGTTTTTGGCTGGCACTTGCGAGATACAGTGACGCGCCGCTCGCCAGGCATGGTGGCTGGCTTGCTCTTGTCTACTTGGTATGCTGATGTGGCAGCTGCCACGCGTTGCTGCTGACGTGGCCGCTGCCATGTGTATTTGATGCTGATGTGGCGGCTACATTGGAGAGATACAGCTGTTCTGATTCGTCGTATTCAGGAGGAGATCATGACTGTGGGAGGATCAGAGATACGTACCTGTTTCTCTTGAGGTTGATGATGCTCCAGCGCTGATGATTGACTTAGGAGAACTTCAGATATCGTCCTGGTCATTGTTGCTGAGGTGGCGACATTGGGAAGAGAGCCCGAAGTAGAAGAGGGCGCAGTATTCTTTTCCACCCTCTAAGTCTACTTTCCCAATCTCTTGCTTATTCGTYTGTGAATGATTATCCATCTCTTTGTATCTGGTAACGATTTCAACTATTGATATTTCATCAGCTGGATGACGACTTGTGGGCTGGCATTATCAACAAGTGTCATCACGATTTGGGTTCATTACAATTTGGTATCGGAGGTGTACTCCTGATCGAAGTACGACGACGAAGATAACGAAGTTGATGACGAAGATCGCACGCGCGCGTGCCAGCTGGCGCCAGGTAAGTTGGGGGTGACGTGGCTCGGTGTGACCATGTTGACGCACGCGTTTATCAACGCGATCTAGACAGCCGACCGCGCATCCTCTGATGAAGAAACGCGCGTGCTGAAGAAGAAGACGAAGGTGGCAATCCGAGGTGGCAGGACCAGAGATCTGACGTGGCAATCTGGATACCGATCATGCGAATGTACAGCCAGGGTCGCGACGCTGACTCACGACACTGCTGACGTGGCACATGATGTGTCACGTCCCAGGGATCTGCTGCTGACGTGGCATATTGCTGCGCTGCTGACAAGTGAGCAGATCCCTTCAGGTGCTGACATGGCCTGATGACATTGATGCTGACCTGGCAAGAAAGGGATTACGCACTTAACTGGTGCAGAGGTGATCCTTGCTGATGCAGCATTACTGATAGGCTGACGTGGCACCACCGTAACTGGCTGGAAATCGGTATCACGAGCTGCATTACGAGGCAGGCACTGATTGATTGCTGACGTGGCAGTAGAGGGCCGCCGTGTTTGCGATGAGTGCCCTCCTGCTGACGTGGCAATAAGAACTTGGCTGCTTCAACGAACCAAGGTTGCGGCAGAAGACAGATCGGAGTTGCTGACGTGGCACCCCACCTTTTGAATGGTTATTGACGTGGCAGGGGTGACAGGTGGCAAGCACGCGTGTGCCTAAGTGAGGAAGTACATTCTGACGACGGCGGCGGTACGGCTGATTGCACAGCTGTAGTGCCAGATGTCGAATGGGGTGTTGATCGCATTGGGCAGGGACTGACGCAGGGAAAGAAGGGGGCTAACATATTGTTTGTTTGATGTTGGCTTACTTACCTTGTGTCGATTGTTGTTTTGTGCTGTGCATACTCACTTGTGTTGTATCTTGCTCACACGGGCCCGACGTGGTACCTGTTCACTTAGGACGTCATCACATAGAACAACAACAGAACAGCAAAGTTAGACATAGGAATCAGAGGTAGATTGAGTTGTCCCTTTCTTTTGGTTACCGGAATTCTTGCTGTGAAAAGAAGCGGCCGTGGAATTTATTATTGTTTAATTAGCTATTTATTGTGCGGCAAACGCTAAAACAGGATGTATCATTTTTGGAATTTCTTGAGACTCTCGGTGCTCACACGTTTCATCTCACTTCTTTTCTATCCTATTTCAGTGAATTTTGTTGTGGATGATGAACAGGGTGATCCACGGACCAAGCAGCAAGTTGAGGAACGAAAGAAAACCTTGCTTGCTCGATTGACTCAATTTGAGACTGAACTTCGTGGACCGGACCAGAGGCCGAGTCCGAAATCCACAAAGTGTATGATCTAAAAGCATTGAAAACTGCTATTGAAACTGCGGTGGATAGATGTCCTGGGTGTCCAAGGCATACTGATCAAGTGCAGAAAGGCACTTGATGATTTTGTCTTGAGTCAATTTGCTGAAATTGAGAACAGAAAAGAATAAGAGGAACAGAAAACGGTTTCTGAAGATGTCGTGGATGAAAACATCAGACAGCTTGAGGAGGCACTCGAAAGAGAGAAAAGGAAGAAAGAAGAAATGAAAAGAGAAAAAGAAAGAAACACACAGCAAGAAAGAAAAGTTCAGGAAATCAGACAGCATGTTGTTGTCACCGAAGGGGAGGAACAGTCTGTCTCTATTTCTCAGTTAGTGACTTACCTCGCACACTTGGAAATGAAAATTGACCACTATGGCATTCGGAGAGACGAGCTGACCGTGGGTTTACAGGCAATCACGAATCTGGTCAAGGGGAAGCACAAGTTAACTGAGGAAGACAGAACTGAGAAGGAAAAGAAACCAGGAAAGTTACTGGGAGATGCTATCAAGGCACTCGAGGGAGAGACTCGGAAGCCCGAAGAAAGGAAAGGGGAACCTTCGAGTCCGCCTTCAAGTCTGCCTTCGAGTCCACGGTCGGGACCGCCAAAATATCCCAAAGGAAAGAAGGACCCCACCTCACAACCTGAGAAACCGAAAAGAAGAGAGAAAATCAAAATGAAATTGCCTTTTACTTTCTGCAATAAAAAGGACGAAAACTTGCTTTTGTGGATAGCTGAGATCCAAACGTACGTTGGAACAGCCCCTATCGAGGAACCATTTCAAGTTGCTTTCTCGGCGTCTTGCTTGGGAGGGGAAGCGAAAGAATGGGTACTGGCGGAGGCTAATGCCGCAGGGTTTGAAGACATTGGTGAGTGGGCTGGTACTTTGACCTTGAAGCAGTTCCTTGCAAAGATCAAGGAACGCTTCTTGGATAAGACCGCCGCCGATAAGGCCTTTGACCAGCTCACCTCCATTGGTCAAAAGCACTGGACCTCAGTAGAGTCTCTGTGAAGGGAGGTTGATCGGTTGCTGCAGGTTCGAGGATTGAACCTGCAAGACAACCAAATCTTGTATATTTACTCCCGTGCTCTGCTCGAGCCTATTCGCGGACAGCTTGTGGCGGAGTCCAAATCAGGTAAGTATAATTACAGGCAATTTCGGGATTTGGTTGTCCAATGAGAGCAAACGACGTCTCAGGTGAAGAACTCTTATGCATCTGTTGTTAAGTATGGTGGTGGTGCAGGAACAGGAAAGCGTGTACTTTTGGCGCCAGGACCACACCCTTGTCGTCTTTGACGACGAAACTGTGGAAAGGTGGCCATTGGAGGCCGAGGGTGTGGCAAACAGCAGTGATTCCGGGAAGGGGGAAGTCACTGCTGCCTTGGTCAACAAGGGAGGACCACGACCACCAGGAAAGAAGAAGAGACCACGCTCCATTCCCGAGCATCCCGGCATTGCGGCAGGGAAGCCTTGGGAGAAAATGGGAATGACACAGGACACTTGGCAAGAAAGAATGAACAATGCGCAGTGTCTGAAGTGTGGCGTTGTTGGGCACGTAATTGCGTGATGCCCACTCATTCGAAATAAGAACCTGAAAGGGAGCAACCAGTAGGAGTAGCATCTGCTCCTACTGAGTTTAAGGGTTTGGACCAGATTGAAGGTAAGGCGTCGACTAACCCTTCCAACCCTTCGACTCGCACGACAGAGGATGGTTCTTCTTCGGCCCATCGTCCAGAACACCTTGAAACTGTCTTTTGTTCTGTCTCTCTGGACGACTCTCTTGTCGAGCTTGGTAACGAGTTGCTGGCACTACGAAGCTCGTGGGCTAAGAAAGCAAAGTCTAAGGGTGACCTACTACTCGCGGATGTAGAGATTGCACACACACGCGTAGGTGCACTACTAGACTCAGGATCCACGCGATCCTACATTTCCGAGAAGGCGATTCGTAAGTTACATCTCGGAATGAAGGTGAAAACTTTGTTTCGACCTATCACATCTGTTCTTGCGGACAAAAGCACGATTACTGTCTCGCAATACGTTGATCGTGTCAAGTGTTGGTTTCGCACACGGGAAGGTAAGAAAATTCTACACGAGCTATCTTTTCTTATCGAGAAAAATTTTCCCTTTGATTTGATTCTGGGTATGGATTGGCACGAGGAAGCCAACCTAGACATTAAGTTCAAAAAAAAGGTTGTGCAACTACGAGACGCACAATCTGAATTGAAGGCCATCAAGTTGTATCTTAAGTCTGGCTCTGACTCTAACTTGTGTTTCTATTGTATGAGTTATCCGGCTTTTCGATCGATGGTTGCAAAGAAGTTGGAACAGGAAGTTATGATGGTACTCGTGAAACATGTTCGTGAGTCCTCTACTTCCTATCCCCCCTCGATTAAGAAACTCCTCGATGAGTATAAAGATTTATCCTTAGAACCCACAGGGATAACTGAGCGTGCTATTAAGCACATTATTGAAATCATTCCTGGTAGTAAGACTCCCAAGGGCCCTATCTATCGAATGTCTCCTAGGGAACTTGAGGAACTGAGAAAACAACTCCAGGACTTGACTGAAAAAGGATGGATTCGCCCTAGCTCTTCTCCTTACGGCGCTCCTGTTTTATTTGTGCCTAAAAAGGAAGGTGAGTTACGTTTGTGTATTGACCATAGAGGGTTGAACTTTGTCACTGTTAAAAATGTCGAACCCCTACCGCGTATTGATGACATGTTGGATCAGTTGTAGGGCTGTAAATACTTCAGTAAGATTGATCTGAAGTCTGGGTATCACCAAATCGAGGTGGAACCTGCGGATCAACACAAGACAACCTTCCGAACCAGGTATGGTCACTATGAATTTGTGGTTATGCCCTTCGGACAGACGAATGCCCCAGCAACCTTCCAAAGAGCTATGAATGAGTTGTTTCGACAGTGGTTGGACCAGTTCGTCATTGTATATCTTGATGATATTCTAGTGTATAGCAAAACACTAGAAGATCATGAGAAACATTTACGTCTAATACTTGGGAAATTGCACGAGGACAATTTTAAGTTAAATCTCAAGAAATCTGAATTTGCTAAGTCCGAAGTTCTGTACTTGACATATAGCAAATGAAGATGGGCTAAGGCCAGAGGCAAAGAAGATTGCAGCGATTAGAGATTGGCCACAACCTAAGTCCCTTACTGATCTTCGCTCCTTCCTTGGTCTAGCAAGCTACTATAGAAAGTTTGTTAGGAACTTCTCACTGATTGCTGCACCAATGAGAAAATTGTTGAAAAAAGGAACTATATGGTTATGGGATAAGGATTGTGAGTTATCCTTTAGGAAACTAAAGCATGTCTTGACTCACTACCCTGTGTTGAGAATCGCTGACCCGTCTCTTCCCTTCATTGTCACAACTGACGCAAGTCAGTATGGTATTGGCGTTGTCCTTCAACAGGATGATGGTAAAGGCTACAGACCAGTTGAGTTTATGTCTGCACGCCTACCTACTGAAAAGATTGCCAATTCTACCTATGTGAGGGAACTGTATGCCTTAGTCTGTGCTTTGCAAACTTGGAGGCACTATTTGTTAGGTAGACACTTCACAGTGTATTCTGACCATTCTACCCTGAAGTGGATCAAGACACAACCCAAACTCTCTGACAAACTAGTACGATGGTCTGCCTTTATTGATACTTTCGACTTTGAGTTGAAATCGATCAAAGGAAAGTCTAATGTGGTGGCAGATGCATTGTCTAGAAGAAGTGACTTCTTTGGAACAATTGTCTCTTATTTGGATGTAGGGCAGGAAGTTAAAGAAAAGATTCGTCAAGGATATGCATCAGATCCTATATGGAAACCTATCATTGACACTGTATTACAAGATCTATCTCTACTTCCTAATTATAAGATCACTGATGGTTTACTTTTCTTAATGGCTCAAACTTAACAAAGACTGTGCATCCCTCATAAAGAAGAGATTAAAAGTTTGTTGATTGGGGAATGTCATGACTTTGAGGGACACTTTGGATTCAAGAAAACGTATGCCGAAGTGAGAGAACGTTTTGAATGGAAGGGTATGAAGGAAGATGTACTAACTTATGTGCGTACCTGTGTGGTGTGTCAGAGGAACAAACCGTCACACGAGAACCCACTCGGTCTCTTGAGACCATTGCCGATTCCCAGTGAACCAGGTGAGTCTATCTTCATGGATTTCATGAGCCTCATAAAGAGTCGCAATGGCAATAGCCAGGTGATGGTGATTGTAGATCGTTTCTCTAAATATGCCATGTTCATTCCCTTACCCGCTGGCAGCGTTGATGGCTCCTCCCGAACATAGAGCACATCGCTTGTAGCCTTGCAGGCAATTCAATCGGAGAATACATCGCTTGCAGGCAATTCAATCAGAGAATACATCACTTGCAGGTCATTTGATGAGAGAAAATTCATCGCTTGGAGGCAGCTTTCAATAGGACAATAAATTCTTGCAGGCAACTTTTGGACATAGAATACATCGCTTACAGGCAATTCAATCAGAGAATACATCGCTTGCAGGCAATTCAATCAGAGAATACATCGCTTGCAGGGAATTCAATCAGAAAATACATCGCTTGCAGGCAATTCAATCAGAGAAAATACATCGTTCCAGGCAAACAAATCGCTTGGAGGCAATATTCGAAAAGAGAATAGATCGCTTGCAGGTAATTCTATCAGATCATAGATCGGTTGCACGCAGCTTTCCACGTCATCGAAAAAGCCCCAACAAGAGCTGTGACCGCGCCCTGCAACGAGCGAGCCGTCATGGAAACCCTCCAGGAGACAACTCAAGGCTCAAACAACGGCACTGCAAAAATCGCCTGTCGACAATCCAGAAAAGCAATTGGAGCGCGAATAGGAAGGTCGAAAGAAAAAAAACAAAAAGGAAAGTTTGGTGGAATAGGAACGAACGATGGAACCTGTAGTAGTGTTCATCCATCCAGGCGGGGTCCCACTTGCACGAATTAAGAGACACTGACCGTAGATAGCAAAGATCAACGGTCGATGACGTCAACAACATCAAGCGTGTGCATCAGGACTTCCGGACGTCGCAGCAAGCAACGAACTTGCAGTTGGAGACCTAGGTCCAAGCTGCTGCCACCGTGACGCCCTTAGCCGCATCCTCCCGGCACCCACCCAAACTGGATGACATTCCAGTTTTCTGCGATCAGTCCAGGACGGAACCGATCCCGTGGTGGCGCCAGTTTACTCTCAGGCTCGACATGCACCATGTCCCGAACAACGATCGACATCGGTGTTTGTACCACCGATCTGGTGGTGCATGTCAAGCATGGCTGGACAACATATTGACCAGCCACGACGTAGCAGTGTCGGAACTGCACACCAAGCTCACTTGGCAGGAGTTGACTGACGCCTGGCACAAGCGATTCCAAGTGGAGCCGCCCGACCTGCAAGCGATGGACAAGCTCAACAAGCTCCATCAGAACAGGCTGCTCAGTCAGGACTGGATTACTGAGTTCCAAAGACTCGTCTCCACACCTGACTTGCCACTCGCATTCCGCGGCGTCAAGCACTTGTTTATCATGCGCTCGTGTCCAGCCCTGCAAAACGCGCTGACGCAGATTGCAGAGACACTCGACACATTTGACAAGCTTTTCAGCACAGCGTCACGGATCATTCTCACGAATGTAGAAGCCCGCAACGCCGGCCGATCTTCCGCGACGACAAGCAGCACCCAACNCCGATCTTCCGCGATGACAAGCTTTTCAGCACAGCGTCACGGATCATTCTCACGAATGTAGAAGCCCGCAACGCCGGCCGATCTTCCGCGACGACGGGCAGCACCCAAAGGTGGCTTGCATTTCGGCGACTTCGCCAACTTCTTCTACCGAGGCTGCAACACCAAACGAGGGTGAAGTGTTGGCAGCTGCCCGGGATGGTGGCCGGCCGCGCAACAATCACGGCCGCGACAAGACGAAGACTCAGTCCACCTCTACACCGGGCACCGGATCAGCAGCCGACGAACCTTGGACACAATACGGACTCTCGGCGAATGGTTACCGCACGAGACTCGAGTACCGTTATTGTCTTTGGTGCAACAACACCATCCACGATGCTGCAAAATTGCCCCACCAAGGGGAAACCCCGTCCGGGAAAGTAGGCGCCGCCGAGGGTGACTCGACACCTCCCTCGACGCCATCGGAAGCGGTTGTGCGCACGACCGCCCTTTCTTCCGAGGCATACGCGGATGTCGGGAGTCTTCCACTTTCGTTCGAAGACTTCGCTGCCCGGCTCGTTCCTTCACTGGATGCTTCTCAAGGACAAGATACATGTGCGGTCCGGAGGTTCCTCCGCCACTTCGTCTTCATCAAGGGATTCGGCAAGCGCGTTCAACGAGGAGGCTTTGGACCTGCTCACGCCCGAGGATTTCGCTTGGGTTCCTCTCCCTGCGACGGGCAACCTTCCGGGGCCGCAAAGCGCAGCACTATGCGCCCTCTTACACGAGTATCTTTCCTTCCATGCACCACCAACTTCGCCGACGGTAGACGAAGTCGCGGTGGGGCCCGCGAGTTTGTCTCGCAATGGTATGCAGAAAACAACGCACTGTTGCTCTACGTGCCCATTCAGATTGGGCAAGCGGCCTGCAACGCTTTGCTAGATTGCGGCGCAACTCGCAACTTCATGAGCCAGTCCTTCATGACTCGGGCTGGCCTTGGCGCACAAGTACGGAGGAAGTCACATCCGACGACGGTCGCTCTTGCCGCCGGTAAGACGAAACAACTCTTAGACCGTTACATCTCGGCTGTCCCGGTGTACTTTGCACCGCACGCATGTGAACCCGTCACTTTTGACGTGTTGGACACCGACTTYRATGTCRTTTTGGGGATGCCTTGGCTTTCTAGCGCGGACCACACGGTCAATTTCCATCGACGCACGCWCACGATTCGTGATKCAACTGGCGCCGAGGTCCCGTGTACTATTCCTCCTCCTCGCTCTTCCATTCGGTGCCAAGTCGTGAGTGCCAAATCTTTTCGAGACACATGCCGTTCCGAGCATGTCGAAGAGATTGGCATCGCTTTTCTTTGAACCATCCCGACGACCGACTCATCGTCCACGGATTTGTCTTCTGACCCCCGTGTGACCCGGTTGTTAGGGCCGATCTCTCACGAGATCATACTCGAGGCCGGCGCCGTGCCACCGAAGGCATGCATTTATCGCATGTCCGCGGAGGAGCACACGGTTCTCCGTGCGCAACTCGATGATCTTCTTGACAAGGGTTGGATCCGCCGTAGCAGCTCACCTTACGGTGCGCCCGTTCTTTTCGCTCGGAAGAAGAACAAGGACCTTCGACTTTGCATTGACTACCGACGCCTCAACGCGCAAACCATCAAGAACGCGGGGCCTCTACCTCGCATTGATGATTTGCTTGAGCGGTTGGGTGGCGCCAAGTACTTTTCGAAGTTGGACCTCAAGTCGGGATATCATCAGATTTCCATCCGCCCGCAAGATCGGTACAAAACAATGTTTAAGACGCGATATGGGCATTTTCAGTTGGTAGTTATGCCTTTTGGTCTCACTAATGCCCCGGCCACCTTTCAGGCGGCCATGACCACCGAGTTTCGCGCTATGTTGGACCGATTTGTCTTGGTCTACTTAGACGACATCCTCGTCTATAGCCGAACTCTAGAGGAGCATCTCGAGCACATTCGCCGTGTTCTAGAGACTCTTCGGTCAGCCCGGTACAAAGCTAACCGCGACAAATGTGAGTTTGTCCGGCAAGAGCTTGAATAGTTGGGTGATTTTGTCTCTCCGGGAGGCATTCGTCCGTTGGCGGAGAAGATTCAAGCCATCCAGGAGTGGCCCGAGCCGGACGTCCGATCCTTCCTCGGCTTGGCCGGTTATTATCAGCGCTTCATCAAGGGTTACTCGAAGATCGCGTCCAACCTAAGGAGCGCCATTCTTTTGAGCGGCCTTTTGACTTCGACGACGAGGCGCGCCATTCTTTTGAAACACTCAAAGCGACACTCTTATCCGCCGAGGTGTTACATATTTACGACCCGCTTCTAGCTACGCGCGTCACTACCGATGCGTCAGGCTATGGCATTGGGGCCGTCCTTGAGCAGCAGGATGGCACGGACTGGCACCCGGTCGAGTACTTTAGCAAGAAAGTACCTCCCGTGCATTCGATCGACGACGCACGGAAGAAGGAGCTTCTTGCCTTCGTCCACGCCCTCAAGCGTTGGCGACATTTCCTCCTTGGTCGGAAAACATTCCGATGGGTAACGGATAACAATCCATTGGTATTCCGAGAGTCGCAAGACACGATTAACAGTACCATTGCCCGTTGGATGGCTTTGATCGACCAGTTTGACTTTTTCCCCGATCACATTCCCGGGAAGTCAAACCGTTTTGCGGACGCCCTCTCCCGACAACCGGATCTTTGCACCGCAGTCTACTCCACCTTCGAGATCGACGACGACTTGCGGAAGAGTTTCATCCGTGGCTATCAAGCCGACCCCCACTTTCGCGACAAGTACGCGAATTGCTCCTCKCCGAATCCGGTGCCTTCGCATTATCGGATCCAAGAGGGCTACTTGCTTGTGCATTCACGGGGTAAGGATCTTCTTTGTGTGCCAAGTGATTCACACTTGCGCACACGGCTTCTTGGCGAGTTTCACGATGCGCCCGCCTCCGGGCATTTTGGTGTCAACCGTACACTTGGCCGACTTCGCCAGCGGTTCTATTGGCCCGACCTTCTCAAGGACGCCACCCGCAATTGTGAGTTGTGCGAAGTCTGTCGGCGTTGCAAATCACGCAACCATTGTCTGTTCGGTGAGCTACACCCACTACCAGTGCCCCTTGGGTGACGGGAAGTGATTGCTATGGATATCACCGGCCCCTTCCCGAAGCACAAGACCGACGTTGATGGGATCCTCACGGTCGTCGACCGTCTCACCAAGTACGCCATGTTTTTGCCTTGCCGCTATCATGCAAAGGCACCGAAGTTAGCCGAGGTTTTATATACCGGTTGGATTCGCTCCAAGGGCTACCCCAAGGAGATCGTTTGCGATCGGGACACTCGCTTTCTCTCCGACKTTTGGGTCGCCCTCGTCAAGCGATGGGGCTCATCTTTGAAGCCGAGTTCGGCTCGCCACCCGCAAACCGGTGGTCAAACGGAAAGGGCGCATCAGACCGCTCAAGTCCTTCTACGCACTCTCATCCGTCCCGACCACGTTGATTGGGTTGAGCGCTTGCCAGACGTCGAGTTGGCTTACAACTCCTCGATCCATCCGGCTATCGGGATGTCGCCGTTCGAGTTTGAGCATGGTTCACCCATCTCATCGCCGCTGGATGCCATTCTGCTGCGCATAGCCGAGAGCGACGACCATCTTGCGTTCCTTCGCCGCATGCAAGACCTATGACCGGTCGTATGCACAAATTCAGACGTTTACTTTGAAACACACTCGTCTGGCATGTCGTTTGTTCCTCTCGGCTGCCTTCTTTTTTCTAGGAGGCCTACTACCGTTATGAGGTATAGGAGTAACGTCTCTTATAAACCTAAGGATTAGTAGGGATTAGTAGGGATTACCCAATTTTTTTTTTCTTTGTTTTTTGAAAAATTGAACTTTTGAAAAAGGAATGAATGCTGCCTTCTCCTCGTATGGGGGACAGCTGCATTTTCACTTCTCTCAATATTTTTTTTATCGCACACTACCTACCCCGAACTACGTACTTGGGTTTAGGGTCATCGACTATGGAAGGGAAGGCCAACTATACTACTGCCTAAGTCTACCAGCTAAGAACTACCCTATATGGGACRGAGGACCAGSCTTAAATGTAGTAATCAGGACTAAGCTATCCTAAGGTTATGGGTATATGCCTACCTAACTCTGCTCTGTGCAGTGAGCAGCACCCAACCTCCTCCTAACTCCTGGCGCAGGCTGAAAAGACCGATTCAAACTTCCACAACCAGCCAGGAGGGACCAGCCAACTTTCTCAGTCAGTGAACCCGAAGTAGGCCACACAGGGGGTCGTGCGGAATCGAACCCATGACCTCCTGTGTACCACTTACGTGCTCAACCGAACTACGCCACCTGGCCAGGATTACCCACCTATTTCTTTCCTTCTGTCTTTCTTTCTTTCTTTCTTTCTTTCTTTCTTTCTTTTTTGAACCCTACTATTTCCAATATATAGCACGTAATGTAGTGTCTCTTCCTGGCCCTGGTTAACCCATCATAACTTCAGCTTGCTAGTTATATGCCAAATATGTTTCCCTGCTGTGGACGGTAGAGATAGGTAGGTAGCTAGCTTCCATGGAAATTCATATTGCCAAATATGTTTCTTTCCCCCATCAGAGTTGTGTCTGTGCGTTATGTCTGTTAAGTGTGTGTCGTAGAGAATCTGTCGCTGTGTTCCCTTTGAGCTGATCTATCTAGTTTGGGTCTCCGCCGCGGAGTTCAGCCTTGAGCAATACATCTCTTGCAAGCTCCTTCCCAAGTGGATGGGGCCTTGGCGCATCCTCTCTGCAGTTGGTGATGATCCTGAGGGGCCTTCATTCTGCATCGTGGTGCCACCTCACTTGCCCGTCCACACGATGTTCCACTGTTCCAAACTCGCTCCTTCGTTTCAGCGGAGTCCGACGAGTTTCCCGGTCAACGTACGCAAGACCCTCCTTCCATGGACGGATTTCAGGAGGCCGGCTACATCATCACCGACCGGCGCCATGGCAACAAAGAAACAGAGTTTCTACTTCAATTTTCCTACTGCGGCCACAAGGCTGAAGGTTGGCTGACGCGTTCAGAACTGCAGGCCACAGCTCCCGCCGTTCTCTCACGTTATCTTAGCAAAGGGAAGACTACGCCGAGCACTCCAGCTCCTCGCCATCCTCGCTACATTCCACCATCAGATCGGCAGCTTCGCCCGCGCCCCGGCTCGTCTTCATAAGGAGGAGGGTGTGTTACATGCTGGAAGCCTACACACGGGCCCCTCACGGGACCCGAGGTTGGAATAGGGCCCCCAGGTCGCGTCACCGCAACCTGAAGGCCCTATGGCATTTTTACTTAGGGCCTGCATCAGAAAAACGCCAGCTTTAGATTATTTTTATATTCTTTTATTTATTTATTGCTGCTGTTTTTCTAACGTGTGTCTGTTGTCCGTTTTTGTGGCCAGGTACACGTTTTAGGGCCAGGGCCAGATTCAGGCCCAGAGGCTGAGCCTCTAAAAACGTTTGGACCTTTTTTTGTTATCGGACAGATTTTGGACCATTCTGACCTGGACCAACGTTCAGGCCCAATGCATTCGCACAGGCCCTGAATCGGACCAGGTACCGAACAGACCCAGTCCTGGGCAGGGCCTGGACGTCCGGTAGGGACCCAGGCAGGCCGTTTTAGGCCAAGGACTGAACCAAGATTCGAAGCCTGCGATCTGGACCGTGGATCGAAGTTTAGATCTACACGGTCCAGAACGGAGGCCGTGGACTCACTGGGTCCGGCCCAGCGCTACTTAAGCTGGGCCAGCGCCCAGTTCTGGACAGAAGGTACCAGGAGAAATCCAGCGTTACGCTGGTTCAGGACTTCGCTTGCTGCGCTATGTGGAGACTACCGGCTGCGCTATTTTGAGACGGCAGCTGCGCTGTTCATCGGCAATGAGGCACAGCGCTGGAGGAGTCCAGCGCCGAGGAGAGTAATGGAGTTCAGAGAGAGAGAGAGAGAGAGAGAGAGAGATGGAAGAGGAGCTTACCTGTTGCGACCTACCAGCGCCATAGCTGGGCTCTCCTGCAGTCCCCAGGTAAGTGCAAAAAGCGCCTAGCTTTCTTCTCCTCCACTTCTTCTTCTTCTTCTTCCTTCTCCTCCTCTCCTCTTCTCCTCCTACTCCTCCGAAGTTCTTCTTCTTCTTCTTCTTCTTCTTCTTCTTCTTCTTCTTCTTCTTCTTCTTCTTCTTCTTCTTCTTCTTCTTCAGAGTAGAGATAGAGGTAACTGCAGACATTGTTTGGACACGGCATTCTGCCTTATTGGACGCGACATTCAGATCGGACTTACACTCTACATTGGGATTGAACTGTGTTCGAAGATCGGACTTGGGTTGGACTTGGTTATCTCCTACGTACGGCTTTGCTCTCCCGCATGTCTATGGATCTCTCCCCATGTGTGTGAGCGGAAGGGCAATCTTTCTGATGTCCTTCCCTTCCGAAGTCTCCCCATGTGTGTGAGCGGAAGGGCAATCTCCGCTGCTTTTTTTTTTTTCCTGATTGCGCAGCCTTACTGCGCTTGCTGAGTACAGCCCAAATCCGCAGAGAAACTTTAACTTTG